CCAAAAGCCGCTTTCAAGAAAGCGGCTTTTGGCCACCCCGCCACTATGTCCGACATAGAGGCGGGACGCCTCCATGTTGAACATAGTGGCGGGGCGGGCAAAAACCATTTTCTTTTTTCCTCAACAGCTATAAACCACCGCAAATCACTGCATTAGATGATACAAATACATATTGCAGCAGCATTAAAAAGTAACTGTTTCCCTAAAAGATACATCAGACAGAATATCACTCATAACTATGCCATCCAAAATGCTGAAATGGACGCTGCTCTTCCTGGTGCTGAATTATCTGTTGCTTGTTAGTGAGTAAATTGTGGAGGCAGTTTATAATTCTTCCTTTCCCTTTGGATAGTGTGGAAAAATTTGATCCTCTTGGAAGGTTCATTTTGTTGTCTCATTAGACATCTTTTTCAAAACATGGAATAAAACTCAAGAAACTTGCTCTTTTCAGTTGTAAATACAGGTTCAAGTCTAGATGTGTGTGAAGAAAATACAAATTTCATCATGGAAATTTGATGAACATTCCAATGGCTGTGTAAATGAAACAAGTTTTTTTTAATAAAAAATTAAGCCACTGTGAAGAAAACAAAAGGGTGACTTAGCCAAAAATCCTAGACCTCAGCAGAAAGAACTGTGGAAAGAATGCTGAGTTGGAAAATGTCCAATGAGATAATTCAAGATACAAAAAAACTCAGATGTACACTGTTTTACAGTAGAGAAAACAGGATAGTTATGGGTTAGAACACTGAACAAAGGCATGTGTAGAACATAGCACATAAATTAATAAAGTCTTTAAAGGAGAGATATCCAAGAAAGGAAAATACAGGAAGCTCATAATGCTGAAGGCCATTTTTGACCTATGGCTTGGCATGCCTGCATTGCAAAAAGTGGGGAAGACAAAAGATGCAAACGGGGCACATACTATAATTAATTTTAGATCATATGTAAACATAGTTACTGTTTGTAGTAATTATGGATTACTCCCTGTGCTCTTTAACATTTGTAGTTCAGTGACAACGTCTGGAGGCAAATTTTTGCCCCTGCCCTTAGTTAATGGAACACAGATTTTTATCAATATTTCATTTAATTCCCTTTATAATGCTGAATATTTGTATTTTGTATTTTATTAGGATTTATAGGCCGCCCTTTTC